CTCATGTATGATTGGCTTGCACTTGCCCTGCGATGGACTAGCGCCCTGTCCAGGGTGCACCCTGCCTTGCGCTCACTGCTTGTCGGGTAGGCTCCGGCTTCCCCCGACACCGTATGGTATAAAGCGGTTTGGCAAATGACATGACACGATAATTCAGTGCACTTGTGCATATGACAAGAAACTGAACTGAACTTAACTGTTAGAGTTCATGATTCTCCCATTAGGAAAAGACTGAACAAGAATGACTTTCATGGAAGAGCAGCCAGGAGAAAGCCCCTTGTCTCCCAAAAGAACATTGCTGCAAGGTGTAGGTCTCCATAACAGCACCTGAATGAACCACAAGACATCTGGAACAATGTCCTCTGGACAGCTGACACCGAAGTGGAGTTGTGTGGCTGTAATGCAAAATGACATGTTTGGTGAAAACCAAGCACTGAGTATCACCACAAGGATCTCATACCTACTGTCAAGCATGGTGGTGGAAGGCTGTTGATTTGGGCCTGCTTTGTAGCCGTAGGAACTGGACACCTCACAAACATTGAGTCCACTATGAATTCCTCTCTATCCCATTGCATTCTAAGTGAAAATGTGAGACCATCTCTTCAACAGCTAAAGCATAACCGGAAGTGGATCATGCAACAGGACAATGAACTAAAATACACCAGTAAATCTATGACTGAATAGGATTTTGGAACGGCCAAGTACAAGACCAGACCACAGCCCCATTAAGGGACCTGAAAAGAGCTGTGCATAAATGAATGTCCTCAGACATCAGCAAGCTGAAGCAGTTGTGTATGAAGGAGTGGGCCACAGGTTTTCCCCAGACAAAGTGAAAGACTGATAAACTTTTACAGGGAACATTTACTTCAAGTTACTGCTGCTAAAGGTGGTTCCACATGTTACTGAACCACAGGTGCACTTACTTTTTCACACAAGGCTACTGAATGTTGCCTGTTTTTTTGTTAATAAATAATGACAAAGTAAAATTTGTGTGTGTTATCTGTCACGTGAGGATCGATTTCTCTACTGGTAGGACTTGGTGAGGACTACACAAAGGACAAAAATGTCTTATTATGTAAAACCATTGAATTGTAAGAGGGTGCACTTTCTGTTTCACATCACTTTCTATATGATCCTTTAGTTTGTTTCTTACTTTATTGTTTACATAATCTTGCATGTAACAGAAGTTAGACCTATTAGTCTTATTATATTGACTGTCACACTCATCCTGAAAAACATTAGCAATTGTCCACTCAGTATCAAGGTATCAAGAGACTGTGTGAGACATATTTGGGTTAACATGTTCAGTGTTCAGTGTGTGGTAATTTGTTTGGTGCGAGTGAAGTTTTATTTAATCTCTGACAAAGAGGGAAAAGTGTGGTGTGGACAGCTGAGGAAAGAATGCAGGCTCGTGCTGTGTTGGCTAGTTTGTTTTTTATCGATAAAGTTTGATAATCGGCCAGTGAAAGCTCTGTTTTCCTTCACACGAATGCCTGAAACCCTATACCGAACCCAGGATTTTACACTAGGAATAACACCTCTCATTTCCACGGGAGACTTGTGGTCTTTCAGATTACAGCCTGTCACTGACAGACCATATTCCTTGGTTAGAAGCTGCTTTCTGTGAGTTCTGCAGAGAGCAAGTAACCATGTGCTCTCTACTCCAGCCTCCTACATACTGATGGCTCTAAGTCACTGCTCCCTTTCTTGTGCAGGTCTTGATTTGTTCGGCAAATCAAAGCAAAACATACCTCATCACCTGTGTCCAGTCCACAACGAGGTGACAATTCGAGTGTGTCACAGTCAGTCATGAACAATCAGTTCATCACAGCTGTGCCAAAAACCGTTCAGCAATATCCAATATCTGTAGAAATTGTTTTTCAGAACCATACATGCACAAATTGATAATATTGTTTCAATTCTCAGTATATTAGCAAGCAGGCCACCAAAAGACTGGAACACTAAAGCTGTCAGCTGGAGCCTTAAAGACTAACCCCTCTAAACAACTCTAATAATAGAATTGATTCAATAATGAAATTAAATTAAGGAATTGATGTGAGGGGATGTTATAATTTTTACAGATCAAATTTGAGCATGTTTTGCAGTCTATGCAGATGACCATCTATTTATATGTGATTTGTATTCAGGTCTCAAACAAATTCTCTTTTTACAGCTGCTTAAAATTGTGGGAGATCTTAATGTGCAAAGAAGGAAAACCAAAAACTGTGACTGAGCAGGGGAACCTGCGTGGACAATGAGATAATAACTTTTCTGGACACTCCACTCAAAGTGCTATACAGGTAATGGGGACTCCCCTCCACCACCAGTGTATAGCATCAACCTGGATGATGTGACTGCAGCCATAGTGCTTCAGAGTAGAGTAGAGTAATGAAGCCAATTCATAGAGGAGGATTATTAGGAGGCTCCCTTACCAATCATTATTATTATTATTATTATGATTGGTAAGGGAAATTTGGCCAGGATGCCACCCCTACTCTTTTCAAGAAACGCCCTGGGATTTTCAATGACCACAGAGAGTCAGGACCTCGGTTTTACATCTCATCTGAAGGACAGCGCCTGTTTACAGTACAGTGTCTCCATCACTATACTGGGGCATTAGGACCCACATGGACTACAGAGTGAGCGCCCCCTGCTGGCCCCACTAACACCTCTTCCAGCAGCAACCTTAGTTTTTCCCAGGAGGTAGTTTCCCAGTTGTGAGTTGCAGAGTGATATGACTGCTGGCTGTCACTGCAGAGGGACTGGAAGACACACATTGATTTCCTTTTTTATTTCGTTAGAATTTATTTCTTACTCAGAGCTCCTACCAAAGTTACAGTGCCTTATAAAAGAAATCAGTCCCTGCCTATGGTGTCTCATTTTGTAAATAACAAACAGTATTGTCAAGTACCTATGGGTTAACTGAGGACATGCAGCTGACCTCCTATTCTGAAAAGCTCTTAGACAGCTGAAATGATTTTCTTACGATAAATAAGTTTGAAGGGCATTTGCTCCTGAAAACACTACGCTGCGTCATGACCATGACGTAAGAGTTAGTTCAGCGGTCAAGCGGACTTCAGAGAATGAAACCCACAAAACTCTATGTCAGAACACCTAATGGTTTGAACAGATCTGGCTTTCCTTGTTGTCTTTATTGGGAGTGCATATTTTTTCACGTCTCTCGTGTCTGCGCCAGAGGTCACCACGTCACGCTCTGTGACACGGTTCGGTAATTTCAGGAGGAGCAAGAGTACAGATCTGTGGAAAGGATAAGCAGGTGTTCGCATTCCTAAATCATGTCAAACTACCCTCTAGAATACAAAGTTTTGGGAGATGATGTATATGATTTAGATAGCCAGACAAATGTGAAATGTAAGATTATTTTTATTTACTTTCCACATTTGGAAACCCCCGGTGAGATGGGAAATCCTCCAACAGGCTGCACAGTCGTGCAACATTTGACACGCTTTGAGCTCAGTCTTGACCTGTATAGCCTGTATAGAACATCCCACTCCTGACTTAGAAGGATAACCTTGATTCACTCAGCAAACAGCAAAAGCAAGAGGGACAAGAATGCACTGGGTAAGACCGTCATTTTGAAAATTGTGTACAGCTTTAGCCTCCATTTTGGAAGCAGCCTGAGGATAGGCAAGAGGAATGTCTTGCATTGACAGGTTAAAGAAAGGGAATCATTTTAGTCTTGAGCAAAGGATGCTGCAGGGAGACGCGACTCGAGTATTCAAAAGCCTCAAAGGCACTGGGATGAGGATAAAGGGCTACGATTTCTTAAGAATCCAGAAAGAAACGCCCCAGAGGGGAAGTTCTTTGACAACTGGGAACAGAACAAACTTCTCTACTCCAAAGGCCATGCGAGTCCCCGGCTCGGGTTTGAAGCCGATAGCGTGGTTTCCATCAGGAAATGGCGAGATGGGATTCTTGGGAAAATCACCCACCTGCATTGAAATGACCTTGATGGGCTGACTGGCCTCCTCTTGTTTGAGGAGTTTCAAGATTTTTGTGGCAGATTCTACTCAGACCCATTTAAGCATGTGGCAGCACTTAGCATCTCCCAGGAGCTGAGACCTCGAGATTGTGATGAGTCAAGACATGCATGTTCTCAAATACATTTTTCTCATGATAATATAACACCATTAGCCCATTAGCCAGTCCTTAAAATTTGCACATTTTTAAACCCTACTGCACAACATGCGTTTCAAAATGGAACCTAGCAGGTTAAAGCGAGGCTTGCTCTCCTGACACACTAGTCACGCTTCATGCTGTGTCGGTCCACCAGATGGCGCGGTAGGTGAAGTTCACTATTAAACCATTTCTTGAACTAAAGAATGTGCTCCATGAACGTTAACAGCATTATTATTGTACAATCACAACCCCGTGGACATATTCGCAGGCAAACCTGCGAATTGTAACCGTTTAATTTCTTACAATTCTTTGTTAAATCGTCACTTCTGCAGGGTACCATTTTAATCGAGGTACTGAGTTTTTAACGAGCTAATTATCCTGACTCTCTTATTCTTAGACACATGAAATACGTTTATTAAATGAAGAGGATTTCCTCTACATACAGTAGTTTAGAGCCGGAAATCGTACAATACAAGGAAACAGTTCCCCCCAGAACCTGGTAATAATATTTTACAACGCAAAGAACTGAAACTTAGAGACATCGCCCATGCTTACTTTATAGCTACACTGCAGAAAACATCTGCCGGTTATATTGCACCGGAAGTAAAAGAAAAGGGCAAGTAATCACAACATTGGTGTTTATGAAAACACAGGCCGTAGGCAGGACTGTCGGCACGAAACTCCGAGGCGAAGATATGTGCGCGATAACAGCAGCACAGCTCAAGTCCGAAGACGCGAAGAGCCTGCCGAGGCCGGTAACACCCACCGCGCTCCTGTCAGCACAGCCCTCGGCTCCCGGAAGTGCCTGCCCGAGCGCAGCCGAGTCGCCGCGCCGAGTGTCCCGGATGTAGTTGCGGGAGGGGAGGCGGGGCTGTGGGCTGAGCTCGGCTGTCTCGCAGATAGAGGTTCAGTCCGCTGTGTGCGAGTGGGAGATGGACCGAGGGCGCTCTTCCGATTAGCGCAGCCTTAAAGCAACTCACATACCCAGAACTATTGAAATAATAGCAGGGATCGGGACGAGTAAAACAAACAACAAAAAAAGCAAAACAAAGCGAATAACTAGTTTATCTTTCACATCCACTCCACTCACACACACACGGCATTGATGGTAATGTATGCAAGGAAACAACCGAGACTCAGTGATGGGTAAACAGCTGAATATTTTTTATTCAGTTTTTTTCCTCCCTTTCCTTCTCCGCTTTGACAAATCCGCCATTTTTGTTGTAAACCAAAATAAGTAGAAACTTACGGAAGCTGTTTCTGCTTTTTATATTTTGTGCATACGGACATCTGTGCTCCAGTTGGTAGCTATTTAATGATTTTCTTTCTCTTTTTTTTTTCTAGGTGTAACGACCGAAGGGATTCCCAACCCTATCAGGTATAAGAAACAGAAACAAGATTAAGATGGGGGGGATACTCTAGCGCAGGCTTTTGGAGCACCTACAGGCCTCGGTGCGGAAAATACAAACGAAAAGTAGGAAATTCGACACGAAGATGCGTAAAAAAGGGTCTTGCTGGCAATATAGGTGTACTTTATGATCGATAGGGGACGTCGACGATTTTAAACGTCGAATTTCAGTGAAATTGAATTCTTCGAAATTTTCGTTTTGTGCAAGGCCCGTGTGGCAAAGATGAAGGCAGATGATCCGTCCAAAATGAAAGATTTCCTCTTGAACCCGAAATGCTGAAATGATCAGAAGTTCCTCGTTGAACTCCTAAGGCAGTTTGTAGCACATTTTATTCGTGAGTAAACGGTAGTCTGTCTGCTCACGGACGGGGTTTTATTCCGTGTGTGCTGTCATACTTCTCAAAACAATATAGAATTAATTTCAACGTACTTGACGCATTCAGGACACTGGAAACTTTTATAGGCTGGAGATGGTGGTTTCGTCGAATGTTGTACAATGTCTTCGAAAAAAAACTTGCATATATAACTTAAACGTCTAGGACACGCATATTTTAAGTGTCCAGTAGGCTTACTGTTTGCCTCCCAACGAAAACAAAAACCGTAATAAGTACGTAGTCAATGGAATATTGTTTATCTATCGGGGTTTTTCCTCTGGTGTTTTCACAGCTGTCATAGACGACGACAATGTCATTCATTTCCGCCAGCCAAGTTAGTGCCATAGCCTGGTGTGGACGGAAAGCAGGGGTTGCAAACTTTTTTTTTTTTGCTGTCGTAGTGCTTTAAGAACTGTTGAATTTTACATTTTCCAGACTCTTAAATACCCATCAAAGAGTCACCCCGGCGGTGACCACCGTCATGAGAAGATGCGAGATTCAGCCGACCCCACACCGCCCTGCAAGATGCTCCGCCGGTCCGACAGTCCCGAAAACAAGCACGGCGACAACATGGGCCACAACAAGGCGAAAGCAGTGCACGCACACCGGGTCAGAGAGAGAGACGGAGGTAAGGCTCCAGTCCAAGTCGCAGGTTGCCTCATGGGTTAGGCCTTTTCCTAGAGTAAAAAAAAAAACAATGCGCAAAGAACATGCAGTCCTGTTGAAGAGTTATCAGTTTTCACGTTTAGAACACCTTCCACCACGCAGTGCAGAAACGTGGTGGTTTTTCATCACACAAGCTTCTCTGAGGCTGGGTGATCTGCCCGGTGTTTCATCCCCAGTGGGGTTAGAGAAGGTGCGACTTTTCACCAAAATGCTTAAGTGACAGAGAGCTCGTCAATGAGTTTATGATGGCTCGCAGTGTTGTCATTGGGCAGACCGCTGACAGTGTGGTCTGACCACGTTCCAAGGAGGCGGCTGCTCACTGTTTTGCATCTGCACGGCAGCATTTGGTGTGTGATCATCAGGAGGACAGAAATATGAATGTGATCTGAAATTGAAGTAAGCAGCTGTCAGTTTTTGAACTGCTTGAGAAAAGTTGCTGTATCACACATATCACTTCATTAGTGGCGTCACCAAGACTTTCAGGTTTTGACCTATTTCAGCCTTAGCCTGTTCTGGCAGTAAAGAAGATGTGTGTACAACTAAGTTCTGCTATTTTCCCTTTCAAAATTGTTACTGTCAGGCTATCTTACCATAGATATTATAAAACCACCTTGTATACGAGTGAGCTGTATGAATAAAAAGAACCCCAAGAGCAATTACAAATGATATGAGAGCATTTGACTCATACATGAACATAAACATAACTTTCTTGATCATTTTGTTCAGGGCATAGTGTAACATTTTTGGTGAGTGTAGGCAGATCAGTTGCTGGACCTGGTCAAAACAAAACAGTTCAGCAGGTTCAGGTATAGTGCGGTTCTTCTTTTAGTACTGTTTCCTGGGATAGCGGGGTAAGGAAACTTGTATTTTGTTACAAAATGTGTAGATATTTTCAGATGTTTGATTTTGATAAAAATTGAAGGGGGAACAACAAAATGTAGTGTAGGCATTAGAGGGGGGTGGTCCTGAATTAAATCACACTGGATTTTAGTAGCAGAACATCCTGAATAAGGTTGATTTCTAACTTCTCAAACAAGACCTATATGTACCTGTTGCATGTTGGTGTGCATGATTATGGTTTGGGTGTTATTCTTATGTTTTTGTTTAATGTTGTCCTTCAGTTCAAAGCTACTTTTATTTTGAGTAGTTAAGATCAGTAGCCATTCTATAGTGTGTTCAGGATTTTTTTTGCCATACATTAGATATACCTGACAATAACTTGCAAACATCTCTGGATGTTCTGAAGTTTTATCAGTGGTTAATCTTTTAACTTTTTTGGTTAGTATTTTAATTTATGCGTTCAAAATTGGCAATCTAAAGAGACTAAACAAACCAGACTTTCATACCTAGATATTTTTCCTTTCTTAGTGTTTTTGACTTTGAATCTCCTAAAACATGCTCTTTTCACAACACTTTAAATTGACACTTAAAACTCTGGAGATTGAAGATCACACAAGAATGCTCACAAAGTTCCTTTTTTGTTGGATGACACGCACTAAACAAGGAAACTGAGTGAAACAAAATGAAATCAATTCAAGACGGGTGGTTTTCCAGAACAAATTGTCTATTAGAAACAAACTTGAATAGTGTTTTTGAATGTAGATTATATTCTACTGTATAAAGTAGTCAGCATCACATCCGTAAAATTGCAGACCTCTCACTTTTAACATTGTGGTTCTAACAGTGTTTCTTTGTGAGTTTGAATTATATGCTGGCATTATATATAATGGAAGGTTCACTGCTTTTTAACAATTTTCATGTTTAACATGCTGAAGGTAACCTTAAAATAGTGAGAAACCATTTCTATGCTCCATCATTTTTTTCCCATGATTTCGATTCCATAATTTTGTGAATTGCAACAAGCTGAACAAGGTTGTTTACACCTTGCTATCGCATTATATTGGAGCACTTGGTGTTGATGTCTTGGGCAGCATCTAATTGAATCTCTTTTCAAGTCTGTGAGTCATCACAGACCATTTTTGTGTTGTTTCATGTGATAGAAACTCCATGCTAGGTTACTGTCATAGTGACAGATGGATTTAGTTACCTTTCAAGACCCCTTGTTTAGTTTTGAGTATTTGTAATGATCTGTAGTAGATAAGGATGTGTCTTCAACATGAAATGTGCTGTAATGAAAGCCCAGACTAGGTTAATAAGACCTTGTTCTGCTGTTGTGTTAGTTGTGAACATTTGCATCAAAATCGGGTTTTACAGTAATCGGTTTCATGCACCAAAGTTTACAGCAGATTGCCCACCTCTGCAGCGGTGTGGAGTTTGTTAGTGTTCTGAATTTCTGTCTAGAAGGTTGTAGAGTGAAATCCCAGTTGGGGCACTGGTATTGTACCTTTGAACAGTTAGGTTCCCTTTGACAGAGCAGTGTTAAGCTGCATCAGTGTAAATAGGGTTAAAAATGTGAAATGCTTTGGCTAAGTCAGTCAACTAAATATACAGGTAAAGGGAATTTTTCATATCTAATTTATTGCACTCTTCAGACGGGTTCTAAGTTTCTGAATTATTTGAAATAATGCAGACTTATCTTAAGTTCTTGTCTAAGTTTTTTTTAAGGATTTTCCAATGCCTGTTGTGTGGATACTGAAGCTTAGCACATTATGCCAGATGGCGAAATAAGTTTTATCACTTTCCTGCTACTGCTTTTAGAATTTGTCCAATAATTAGCTGGCTAATGTATGGGAATGTGGTATTATGACAAGCAAACAAAAGCAAGAACGACATGTTTTCAGGTAGTACTGTGCTTTTTTTCCTTTGACGTTGCCTAGGTGTAGTGGTAAAATAACTTCAAAAACATGTAGGTCTGTACTTTTCAGATCTTGTACAAAATGTTTTCTTTGCAATCTTTCTTGAAGGGACAGCCTAACTTAGAAGCTTGCTTTATACTATTAATTATTTTCATTAAATTAAGAAGAGGATAACATGGGCTCTGGAACTTGAGTAGTACTGAGCCAGGTCATCAATTTGACACCTGGGTTTTGGTCAGTTTGCTAAAGTTAATTGGTTAATTTTGAGTGAAGAATAACAATCCTTACACTTACATAGAGCTTTTCTGGCCACTTCACCTAAAGCTCATAATAGGTAATTGGGATTCCCATCCCCTCCAATGTGTAGCTCTCACCTGGGTGATGTGATGACAGGCAAAGTGGCACCACACATCAGCACAGAGGGCAGAGGGATGAAGCCAGTTCATAGATGGGGATAATTAGGAGGCCATGACTAGTAAAGGCGAGGGGAAAGTTGGGCAGGACACTGGGGTAACACCCCTATTCTTTTTTGAGAAACACCCTGGGATTTTTAAGGAGCACAGAGTTGGTACCTTGGTTTTACGTCTCATCCTTTTTTACAGTATTGTTCCCCATCACTTTACTGAGGCAAGGACTCACACAGACCACAGGGGTCCCTCAACCGGTCCCTCTAACACCTCTTCCAGCAGCAGCCTTAGCTCTCCCAGGAGGTCTCCCATCCGGGTACTGGCCAGTGGGTTGCCGGCTGTGACCTGCAGTGGGTGATGTAGCTGCTGGCAAGAGTGAATGAAGAAAATAGAAGAATGGTCAGTTTTGGTCCTTGACAGCAGTACGGTGTTGGGTTTGGGTTTAAAATTGTCTAACCCACCTAATTAAATAATTCATCTGCTTCAGGGGGTCAAAGTTGTTCCAGGTGTTTATCCAGAGTGACCCATATAACTTGCTTGATTGTGGCCACACTTGCTCTTAGCTTTACCAGCATCAGCTTGTTCAGGAGCATCAAACTCACATCCAGGAGCGTCTGGTGTCTTTTCCGATTTTTATTTCAACCCCAGCAGTCACTTAACCTAATTATTTTCATAGATCAATGTAGCGTTTAAGTACTTTTCTATTTGATTGCTCAAAACTTGTAAAGGTACAGCTACATAAACGGCTAGGAAGCAGGATAGAAGTGTTATTCAGTTACTTAGGTCACGTTTGTAACAGAGAGCTCGGTTGGAACAAAAAACCTGAAGAAATCAGGCCCTACAGAAATGTTCCAACCTCCTCGATCAGGAAAGATGACACTGGTCTTTGCAAGTGCTTCAGGACTTTGTTTTATCTAGCTGTACTGAAAATTCAGTTTAGAACTGACTCGGTGAAACAGGCTCTCACATTTTGGATAAAAGGTATTGCAAAAGTACCATATCTTTTGTAATGTAAGCATCTGCCATAACCTGCAAGAGGAAAGGGTAGACTTAAGCCCTGCTGGGTTGGTATCATAAAATGCCAATCTGAGGGAAAACAAATTCCACCAAAGTAGCAGTAGTGTAGTTTCTAAAACTAACAGAAGTAATACTGGAAAAGGTCACTTTTGAACACTTCAGGCATTCTTGTCCTACAGATTGTTATTGACTTGCAAACTGCAGATTGGTTTTTGAGTTCAAGGCCTGAGCAGTTTCTGTGATGCCATGAGGACTAAGTAGGTAGTGGCTCGGCCATGCAGTCGTGACACAAGAAAGACCTGGTGTGGTCTACCAGGTACAATACAGGGTATGTTTTTTTTTTTTGTGCTGACTAGCAGTGTGCAAGCTGAAGATGTTGACTTGTAGCCTAATTGTACTGCTATCTTATACCTAATAGTGGCAGATCTGTTGCCCAAGTGACAGATTTAAAATCTGAGCTATCACATGTGGTATGAGTGCCCAACCCTGTTAGTTTTACAGGCCATCAAGCATTGCTTCTCTGAAAACTCTTCTGTTCATTTGGTCTTAGGGTAGGGATCTTCAGCTCTGGTCTGGCATGGTTTATGGCTCTGTATCAGTGGTCGGCAAACCAAATCCGGCCCACCGATCTTTTCTGAGTGGCCCACAGCTCGCTACTGTTTGAATTGCGGGGGTTACTTTTTGCATCCGATACTGTCAGTGGCCTCTACTCGTTAGCTCTGCTGCTCTGTCTCAGCACTGACGGTCAATTGCAGAACAACACCAATTGCGCGATGCGTTTG